AAGCTATGTCTGGTCTAGTGTGAGAGAGATAAATAAGCCTTCCAACCAACCTCTGATATCTCTCCTTATAAATTGATTCTCCAACCCCTGTTTGTAGCTTGTGATTGCACTCAATGGGTGATTTTGTTGGTTTGCAACCAATTATACTAGTTTCTTTCAAGAGATCCAGAATGTACTTTGAGAAATGAAGATTCCACTTTTTGATCTAGCAACCTCAATTCCCAAGAAATACTGTAGTTTTCCTAGATCCTTGATCTCTAATTCTTGTTAATAGTTTCTTCAATCGGGTTAATTCCTCTTTGTCATCTCCTGTCATTACTATGTCATCAACATAAACTATGAGAAGAGTGAGTTTACCGCTTTGATGTCTAATAAAGAGTGTGATCAACATTGCTTTATTGGTAACCAAAAAAGATCATTGCTTTGTAGAATTTGTCAAACCAGGCTCTAGGAGATTTCTTATATCCGTACAAAGCTTTCTTCAATCTGCACACCTTTCCCTGTCTCTCTTCAGTATCAAATCCAGGAGGAATCTCCACATGCACCTTTTCTTCTAAGTCTCCATGAAGAAATGCATTCTTCAGATCGAACTGTTGTAAGTCCCAATCAAGATTAGCTGCACAAGACAAAAGAATTCTGATAGTGTTCATTTTAGCAACATGGACAAATGTCTCTTGATAATCCACTCCATAAGCCTGAGTGAATCCTTTAGCCACCAATTTTCCTTTGAATCTTTCAATTGAGCTGTGTGTTTCACATTGAAGGCCCATTTGCAGCCAACCAACTTCTTGTCTGGTGGTGAAGTGACAAGTTCCCATGTTTTATTTTTTGACAAGGTCTTCATTCTTCATTCATAGCTTGCTTCCATTTAGGATCTGCAAAAGCTTCTCTCCAATTCTAGGGAATTGACATAGAAGAAATAGACAAGGCAAAGGCTGTATAGGAGGGAGACAAAGAATTATAGGAGACAAAATTAGATAAAAGATGTTTGGTGATGCAAGAGCTGACTGCTTTTCTGTGAGCATAGGCAGATTTAACTCATTAGGAAATGTACATACTCACCAATAGAAGAAGGTTTAGTTTCGGCAGATTGCTTGATGACTTCTTCTACTCTATTTCTCCTTTGAGTAAGTTTTCAAATCAGGCCTATCCAAATGCCCAATAGTCTCGCTCTGAATTCTTTCTCCAATTTCATTTTCCCTAGTGGTAGTGGCAATGGTTTCAAAAGTGGAACTTAGGAATCATCTCTTCCTCCTTATAGCTCTCCCCCCGAAGAGGTGATGGTGTAATACTGAAATAGGGCTTAGATTCTCGAAAAGTAACATCCATGCTGACGAAGGATCTCTTGGAGGGAGGATGATAGTATTTGTACTCGTACTGTGTTGGAGAATACCCAATAAAGACACACTTAAGAGCTCTAGGATCACGTTTCCCAGAGTTTCTAGTATGAACAAAGCAGACACCCAAATACCTTCAGAGGAACAATATAATCATTCTTACCCTTTAAAGCTTGCAAAGGACTCTGTAAATTGAGGGTTTTAAGTGGAATTCTATTGATGAAGATAGGCAGCTACTAGAATGGCATCCACCCAGTAAGGTTTTGGTAGATTCATGGTAAACATAAGAGATCTAGTCACTTCTAACAAATGCCTATTTTTTCTTTCAGCAACTCCATTTTGTGCACTAGTATAAGGACAACTGGTTTGATGGATTATCCCATAAGACTCTAAATAAGCACCAAAATTTTTATCCATGTATTTTGTGCCATTGTTAGTTCGTATGATTTTTACCTTAACCCCAAATTGAGTACTAATCAGCTTATGAAAAGACTGAAAGCAGGAGAAAACTTCACTTTTGGCCTTCAACAAATACACCCAAGTCATCCTAGTGCAACAATCAATAAGGTAACAAACCATCGACTACCAGACAAAGAAACTGTTTGAGTGGGACCTCATACATCAGAATGAATAGTCTAAAAAATGTGTCGTACTTTTATTATACTCAAAGGATAAGAGTTTCTAGTATGCTTGGCAAATTCACAAGCACCGCAAAATAAAGATTCAAACTCGGTTCTAGAAAACAAACTAGGATATAAAAGAATTACATATTGGTATGATCTTTTATGCGAAAATCCCAAGAATTGGTAGTATAGATCATGAGCTCATGGCATACCCGTTCGATGCCACTGTATTATTTCTTGGTTGACATCTTTATTTCCTCCAAAATAGACCTGAACAAAGTCTCGAGTTCCATCAATCCAATATAAGTCATCATGCAATCTACCGTTGCCAATCCTCTTCCTTATTTGAAGATTGTGAAAATCACAATATCAGGAAAGAACTCGATGCTACAGTTTAATTTTTTGGTGATGGCGCTAACAGATAACAGGTAAACGGGAAACTCAGGTACATGAAGGACATATGATAATGTAATATCAGGTGTACGGAGAACAGAACCTGTTCCAGAGATATGAGTTAGGGAGCCATTGGTTATTCTGACATTATCCCCATTAGGACTAGGAGAGTAGTTTTGAAAGCCTTTAGGGGAGCCTGTCATGTGTCTATTTGCACCAGAATCAATAAACCAAGAATTAAGGTGAGCATTAAAGACAATACTGATTGGAAGTAGCAACATTAGAAGAGTCAAGTTTATTCAAGAGACGACGAAGATGCTGAACTTCATCCAAAGGCAATGCTTCTCCAGAAGTAGTTTCCTTGGATGTCTCCATATTTTCTGCAATATTAGCCTGACCCGTTGATGGACCTATACGTTTTCCTCCACAACCTCTAGTTGGTCAACCATATAGTTTCCAACATGTCTCCTTTGTATGCCTTGGCTTTCTACAGTAATCACAGTGCATGTAATCTTTATCACAAGTGAATGCCTTTGGTTGCTCACAAGACACAGTTAACCCGAACTTCTCCATTGGTATTGAATAAAGCACGACTCCTCGTCGGTTCTCTTCCTATTGAACATAAGAATATGCATCCTCAAGAGAAGGAAAATGAACTTTACAGAGAACTTAAATCCTGATATGATCATATTCTTGGTTCAAACCGGCCAGAAAATTATAGACCCTTTCCTTTTCAACCAATTGTTGAAAGAGACTGCATCATCAGTACACTTTGCTTGGAGATCCTGTTAACAGTCAATCTCTTGCCACAACCCACTTAACTCGGAATAGTAATTAGTGATAATCAATTCACCTTGCTTAGCTGCATGAATTTTATTTCGAATTTCAAAAATCTGGGCATCATTTCCCTTGCGAGAGTAAGTGCACATTAGTTAAATTCCTGAATTTTTGCAGCAGTATCAAGCAGTAAATACTGTTTAGAAATTCGAGGGTGCATTGTATTCAACAACCATGTCATAACAAGGGAATTATTCGGAATTCCATTGGCTATAACTAGCATCAGTCACAACAGATGCTTTCTTTCTTTAGTAATATAACCAAGTAGCTTTCTAGACTCAATAAAAAGCAAACAAGATCTTGACCAAGCAAGATATGTACCAACCCCTTCCCAATTTTACCACACTAATTTGTGAAATACCATGTGAAACAATATTGTCTACAGAATTGATAACTACCGCCTTTGAGTCTCCTATAATTTGAAAAAATAACAATTCAAGCAAAAAATAAATCTTTTCTGCATAATCAAGGAGCAGTGAACCTGGTTACTCTTCAAAGAAGAAAAATGGGGAGAGCTGGCTGAAAAAAATTGGTTCTAATACGTTGGAATCGTACCTCTACTTCTCCAAAATTGATGAAACTGACAAGGTAGGCTCGAAATGTGTCGGCGACACCCAGGGAGAAAAACTCGACCTTTTTGATACAAAAGGAACCCTAGCGTTGCAGAGGGAGATAACTCACCTCAAAAAAGCAACAATGACTCTGATACCATGTTGAATTTGAGAAGAAGAAAAGGCTTCTTTGTATATTTCAATGTCCGTACAACCTATGGACTAGGATATTTATACAATCAGTCCTATCTCTAATTTAGGAAAGACAATCAAAGACAATAATGCTAATTACAATTAAATAAAATAAGATCCCTATAATTAAGCTAATCAAATAAGATCTTTATAATTAAGCTAATCAAATCACTACAATTAAGCTAACAAATATTCAATACCTTCTTAGCATGTTAACAACTCCTAGTATTACCCCAAAAGTAAGGGTTATAAGTTATAACAGTGGTCCATACCTCCAATGTACGATTCGAAAGTGACTCCATAAGTCCAGAAATTTCGCCGATACTTATTCTTTTGGATTCAATTAACTTCTAACCTCTTCCAACATATACTTAACACTTATTAAACATGGTATAAACACTTATAATCCTCAAAGATACTCTTACCCTTCGAGCTCACATCTATTACCTTATGTCGCAACTTGACGTACGAAAATACGGGATGTAATAGGTATCATTTATTTTGGGACAATCTAAAACAGAAAAGGAATTGGGATTGAGGGGTTGAGGGATTGAGGAAGGAATTGCAAAGATACTCTTATCCTCAAATTGGGATTGAGGGGTTACTACTTCCCTTTTCTTGTTGACTGTATATATTATGAAAAATTGGTAATCTTCATTGCTATTGTCGCCACAAGTTTCCAATTAGACTTGGAGACATTAACAGGAAGCCGGGCATTTGTAATTTCCCTGTTTTTCAGGAGAAACATTAGTGTCATTATGCTTTAATTTCTCAATTATTTAAATCTTATGCACCATGTTGTATGTTTTCTCAGTATTTAAATCTTTCAACAGTCAGAGAAGTCAACATTCAGGCTAAGTACATCATATTTTATTTTTGCAGACTATCTTCATTCTTATATAAGCCTTGCGGCTGCTTAAAATCTGTTTTAATGTGTTGTTCCTTGCTTCACTCAAGCAGATGCTTATTACTTTTTCTCTTTTGATAAGTATTGAGCAAATTATAGTTCCATGAATTGTTTTTGGATTGGATGTCTAACTTTGCCTTATTTCCACGTTTGTATGCAGAGATGCTTTCAAACATGAATTAACTTTGCTAGAAAAAGTACGGCATCCAAATGTTGTTCAGTTTGTTGGAGCAGTCACACAAAATATACCAATGATGATAGTCTCTGAGTATCATCCAAGGGTAGGCTCTGTCAATCTCTTAACACTAACCTATCACCTAACAACTTTGCTTGTTCACCTCTTTTATCAATTCAATTTATGTTAATATACATCTAGAAGTGAAACCGGTCCTTATGGAACAAAAGAATGCCTTTTAAGGTTTCTTTTCTGATGATGAGACTTCTAAAGAACAAAGTTTCAACAGATTAAGGGATTCAAAGAGTTGGTATCATGATCCCCTCAAGATGTAGTTGTTGTACCAGACATCAACAGGAGACAAGCTCACATCTATTTGGTGATAGTGACATTGCTAGACAGGTTTGGAATTATTTCTCCAGTACATGTGGCATACGGCATACAACAAGATCAGTTAGGAGTTTGGTGATGCAGTGGTGGCGGACTATACCAAAGAACGAAGTGCATAAGGTTCTATTACAGTGTCTTCCATCTGTAATTTGTTGGGAAATATGGAAGAACAGGTGTGCAGCAAGGTTTGAGAATTTATATATGTCTAGTAGGAATATCATCTGGCAGGTGTGTCACTTAATGTCATTGATTCTGCAATGTCTATTCTCTAAGTTAAATTTACCTGTAACATGAGAGGACAAGTGTGCTTATGTGGAGAAATTACAACAAGTTATCCACAGTCAATTGGTGATATGGTCCAGACCTGAGGAGGGGTGGATGAAAATGAATGTAGATGGCTGTAACAAGGGTAATCCCGGGAGTGCCAGAGAGGGTTGCATTATAAGGGATCATCATGGGCGTATGATTTTAGCATTTGCTGATTACTTTGGAATTTTAGTAACAATGTGGCTGAAGCTATGGCAATTCTACAAGGGTTGCGTATCTGTATTGATAGAGGTTTTCTTAAGATTATTGTTGAATCTGATTCTCTTATGTTGGTTAATATAATCAATAAGAAAGATTATTGTTGAATCTGATACAGAAGGGATCCTTCCTTTTTGTTCATATATTCGTGGAAGGAAATGTGATTGCAGACCAAATGGCATGTTTGGGTGAGAAAGTCAGGAACCAGATTGTCTTCACTGAAGATCTTTCATTGCCTAGGCAAGTTAGAGCTTACTTGAAGCAAGAACAGGATGGCTTCCCAAGATTCAGATTTTGGCCAAAGAAGAATCTCTTCTCTGTTAGTAATGGCTGAGATGAAGGAGCTTAACTATGTTATACACTTAAACTGCATAGCTTTGTGCTTTATAGTTGACTCTTCAAATATTGTAATGGAGGAGTCCTCCCATATCTTAGCTACATCTCTTTTGCATTTTTGCATAGGAATGTCTAGCAGAACTGTTCATCATGCTCTGGAGGCTATGGTTTATGTCCTCCTCCATGTACTTTTGTTATTTGATTTATATACAGGTTAGGACTACTCCTAAGTCCTAACTCCCACCAACTTGGTGGATCTTTTGACTAAAAAAAATCATTGGCTAAATTTTTAGCTTGAGTTGGCAACAGTTTCAATTTCCGTGTTGTGGAGATGTTGATGCTTATGAATTTTGTATGCCAATGATCTCAATTTTTATGTTAGCCTTGCAAGTATGACAATTGGCATTACATGCGCTATTTGTGACTTTTCAGGGTGACTTAGGTAGCTATCTGCAAAAGAAGGGACGTCTATCTCCTTCTAAGGGGCTACGATTTGCTCTTGATGTTGCTAGGTAAGTCAATCTTTGATTTGTCATACAAAGTGAATTGATCTCTCATGCTTGAATCAGTCTTTTGGCAATTGCTTTACTCTTTGGCAAGTTGTGACTTTTCAGTTATTTATTTTATCTCAGCGTGTCTATATTGTGCCATGTTGGTCGATTTTCAGGGGTATGAACTACCTTCACGAATGCAAACCAGACTCAATTATCCATTGTAATCTAGAGCCAAAGTAAGGCAACTAAATGCTTTATTTGTCGAAGGCTGTTAGCTGACCATTTTCACTGTTCTCATTGGGATATCCTATTGTTTTTAATATTCGAAATTTTGGTAAGGTGCCAGAAATATTTTGCTGGACAGTGGAGGTCTCCTGAAAGTTGCAGGATTCGGTCTGATTAGATTGTCAAAAATTTCACCTGACAAAGCAAAGTTGGTGCAGCCGGAGGCTGTTGACCGTTCAAGTAAGCTTTTCAAATTTCAAGTATATAAACATTAAATTATAATATTTCTAAATATGGAGAAAACATGCTTGTTTGATGGTAAGTTTTGATAAATCAGAAACTTTGGTTATGAATTGGAGCATATTGTTTAGCATGAAAGAATCACCTTTGATTGAACCTGCTGTGTTTCTGTTGATTACTTTACTCGTCATTTGTTTGTCACTTATAGGTCCCTATGTGGCACCTGAGATTTATAAAGATGAAATATTTGACCGGAATGTGGACATATATTCATTTGGCATTGTACTCTATGAGGTATGATTTCCTTTTATCAGATACTTCAATTCATGCTATAGCTTAATTTGGAAATAGTGTCCCATTTAGGTGCAGCGCTTACTGATACTTGGATGATCTTGATTTATTGAGAATACAATTCAATCCTCTATTTATCCTGATATCAGGCTATCAGCCTTCTGGAACTGTGATACTCTGCTGCTTCACATTCTATTTCACCAAGAATTTTATTTTACTTTGTTTGGGTCAGATGATGGAGGGAACACCACCTTTTCATACCAAGTCTCCTCAAGAGGCTGCTAGACTGATGTGCTTAGAAGGCCAAAGACCAGCATTCAGATCGAAATCCAAATATCCTCCGGAGCTTAGAGAGTAAGTCCCGCTATTTATTGTTTTTGTTATCATTACTTGGGTGTATAATCACATGTTGTGCAGTTCATATGCGCTTATATATTAGCAACATATTATTCCAGTTTAACATGGTCTTCTGTTCTGTACCGCTAGCCATTGAAGTGTATCATGAATTCTTTTTGAAGGGCGTCAGAAAAGATTTCCTTTCTGCTGCTTTGGTTTTGTAAAAAGGATGTGTATGTTTCATTTTCTTGAGTGTCACGATCCAAAATCCCACCAAGTCGTGATGACACCTAACCCAACCCACTAAGTAAACCAACTAACATAAGTCACAATTCGAAGTGGGAATCATCAAATAAATAATGAAATAAGAATGCGAAAATCAACACAACTATCCCCACGAACTGATAGAACAAGTCATGAGCCACTAATATAACATTTGTTTGAATATAAATAAACAGAAATACAGAATTCTAGGCTACCACGAACAAATGGCTGCTAATAATTGAAATGCTGATGTCTTCAATGCTCATCCTCGAATGCCGCAGCCGCTAAGCTCCAAAATCTACACGCAAGGTGCAGAAGTGTAATATGAGTACAACCAACCCCATGTACTCAGTAATTATCAAGACTGACCTCAATGAAGTAGTGGCGAGGTTTAGTCAAAAGATACTCACTTTATATAACCCGTGCAACTCATAAGCATATACGATAACCAGAAGACAATCAAGAAATAACCAAGGAACAACATGTATTTATAATAAAGGTGCACAAGCAAAGAAAGAGATAATAAGCATGTTTTTCCATTTGAATGGGTCAAAGCATATACAGATCCACCAAATTTACATGCAAAGAAGATATGCACCAAGTAGCATTAGCTCGAATATTCCTACATGAATATAGAATGTCTATACATGATAAAGATCCAATTCCTTATAAATTGCCAATTAACATTTATTCTTATGCTTCTACATGAGTCTAAAATGTCTATGCATGATGAAGAGTACAAGATCTATGTACCCAACTCTGCCGAAGAATCATATTCATGTATTAAATGCACCAAATAGCATATGTAGATGGCATGCGTGATTATGATACGAAACTATGCATGAACACACACCCCCATCACAACTCGTTTGTGCCTGACACAAGATCCATGTGTCCAATACCAAGCACCAATCCAGTGCTTATGCTCACAGGGCTCAAATGGGTAATCACCTGACTCTAGAGGGACAGTACCATATCCAAGCGGCGATGCAGGAACCCATTGTCATGGGAACCCACCGAATCACATCAATATCAATATCATAACAATTCACACGGCAGAAACCTCGTGCCACAATATTCATCTCAATATAAATCCGCTCATAATGTCCCAATGTGCCTTAATATTATCAATGCGTATTAAGATTTCCATTTCCAATGATGTATGCATATGCCTCAGAGATAATCAATAAAATTTACTAGGACATGATAAATAAAGATGAAGGGATGTATGCAAGTACTCATGAGATGATCCAGAAGTATGGTATATGCTTACACGTATGATTACAACTTCAACATGTAATTCGTCATTTAATAACCATCAACTCCAAATAAAGCATCAAATGCCTAGACATGGTCTCTAACCAAGATAATAAGGTTCAAGTAGTCATACAATAATTTAAGGCATGTCCCAAGAATATTAGGTGTAGATGTGTGTTCATAATAATAAGTGTGACTACGGCTAAATCAAGTATATTTACAATCTTAAGGATAGCCCATCATGCTCAAATAAGGTATCAACCTAAACATTGTCTCTAGCATGATTCATTGTGTTCACGTGGTCATTCAATCAATTAAAGCACATAACAAGTAGAACACACAACCAAACAAGGTATAAAGAAGCCAAAAATCCACCCAGAACATGATATTACCTCGGTATGCATATAGCTCGTGACCTCGCATATACGTCACCTTCCCCGAGCATGTAGCATATAGATTTATTTTAGAAAAAATTCCCTCAAGCTAAGATTAGGCAAGATACTTGCCTCCTTCCGAAACAACTTCGACTCTCCAACAAATACTTTCCGTTGTTATTAGCCTCCAAATGTCTCAAATCTAGTCAATCAACACTTAAGGAAGTCAAATAGTACCTTAGGAATCAATCCCAATCCATAAGGCTCCAATCTTTAATGAATTTAGAAAAAGTCAACAAAAGTCAACCCGCGCCCTCTTCATCAAAACCAAAAATTGGAATCGGATCCCGACTGCCATGGCCACGGAACCCAAATCTATAATCAAAATTCCATTTTGATGTCATTAGCATGCTTAAATCAACAATTCTCCATTTCTATGTTTTCTTCCATTTCTCATTTGATTTCTCCCAAATCCTTGATTTCATGTTAAAATTAACTTGATGATAAAAGTGAATTAGAATCACTTACTCCATCATGGTTGATGAATAAGTTGGTCAAAACCGAGCTCCCGCTCTCCAAAATTGGAGAAAAATGCCAAGAACACGAAATGGGCTCTATTTATACTGTGAAGAATTATCTGGAGGTAAAAATACACTGCCGCGACGCCCCCCATGTCGCGGTAGTGCTGCAACCTGCAACACTCTGCTGACCAAAACAACTCTGCCACCCTTCAGTAAAATGATCATAACTTTGTGCTCAGATGTAAGAATGACGAACGGCTTGAACCACAAGAAACTAGACTTAAAGGGATACAATCTCATCAAAACCTCATCCCAAGATTCTTTATAGATTGAGAGACATGCACTTTTAAAGTCAAGCCAACTGCAAGCCCTGTTTCAGCAACTCAATTCTTCCAAAACTTGCCCCAAATGCGCAGAAACTTACCCAAACCCTCAGGACTTCATCCAATCTTTCCTATAAGTCCAAATATCCTATATGGACTTGTCCAAATGGTCAAAACATCCACGGGAACATCACAACAAAGAATCGAGGCTCAAATTGAATAGAATTTCTCTTAAATTCTTAAATCTTCATTCTTTCAAAAGAGTGTCCGAATCACACTTTGATACTTCGGCTTACTTCCAAACTTTGCACTCAAGTTCAATTCAACTATATAAACTATCCAAAGTCTCGAAACACCAATCAAAGTCCAATAACATCAAAGTCAGCTCTTGGTCAAACTTATGAACTCTTAAGTTCTTCAAATTGCCAACTTTCGGCAAATAATATGGAATTCTTCTAGGAACCTCCAAAATCAAATCCAAACATATGTACAAGTCCAAAATCATCATAACTTATCGGAACCATCAAAACTCAATTCAAACCTTGGTCAACTCTCTTAACTTAAAGCTTCCATTTAGGAACTAAGTGTTCCAAATCACTCCCAAACCTCTTTGGACCAAAATTATCCATACCAGCAAGTCATAAACATTAAATGGACCTACGGAAGTCACAAATCACAAAACGAGATGCTAGAACCCAAAATGATCTGCTGGGTCGTTATATTCAGCCATTGATTTTTTCTTGGCTTGGTGATTTAGTACAAACTCCAGCCCGGTGCAAGTGCAACTAGCATGTTGTTGAACTCATGACTTTTCCTGCAATTTCTTGTACTCTTCCTGTCAGACCTTCCCAGATCTTGAGCATTTAGGTGAAACGCTCATCTTTTGATGTCCATCTATGACAAGATTAAATAACTGGGACTTTGTTGTGCGCATGACCTCATTAATTTCTCTATATGCTTAACTTTAAAGAGTACCAGAATAAGCTTTTGGATAATTAACATTGGCTTATGGGCATTTCAATACCTATATAATTTCAGACCAGTGCACTACCTCAATGCCCCTTAAGCAGGGAGAGATGGTTTCTTGCAGTGTACTATTGGTATTAGGCTTATTAGATTTGGCGTGCAGTCAGTCCGATACTTGTGTTCCCTCTTGACTTCTGCTCAATGTATTGTATTTCTAGGTTGATTGAAGAATGTTGGGATCCAGAAGCTTTTGTACGGCCAACGTTTTCTGAGATCATTGTGCGGATGAATAAAATTGCTGCTAACTGCTCAAAACAAGGATGGTTGAAAGATACTTTTAAGCTTCCTTGGTAATGGTTCTGTTGCCTATTCATTATATATCCTAGAAATTGAACATTTATTTATATTATGAAAAAGAGCCTTGAACTAAGAGGAAAAAAAGGTCAGAGTTCTTGACAATTTTGCGGAACTTGGGATTGTGACTACATAATGTGTTAGAAGCATAGGATTGCAAAGACTCTCTCTCTCTCTCTCTCTCTCTCTCTCTCTCTCTCTCTCTCACACACACACACACACACACACACACACACGTAGGCATGTGCGAAAGAAAATACTGACTTGCTTAACAATTTAAAAGGGAAGTGAGTTGATAGCTGCTCAGATGATAAAACAGAGAAAAAGCACACTCATGCGATGTAATTATAAGCTTGATGTACTGTTTTTCAAGAACTTATCAATGGGTTTAGAAACCCCTACATTTTTAAGTGTTGCTCTATCAAAGAGTTTCAATTTTAGCAGCACCTAAGGGTTAAGAATTATGAGGTCTCAGGTTCAAATTCCAAAGGAGGCAAAATACTAGGTGATTTCTTACCATCTTTCCAAGCCTTGATGGACAGAGTTAGCTGGTCTTGTTGCTGGTGGGAGATAGCAGATATTCCATAAAATTAGTCGAGGTGCAAACAAGTTGGCCTGGACACCACGGTTAGAAAAAAAAGAGAGTTCCAATTTTACCAAGGTAACCAAATGTGTCAGAGTCATTCTAGCGTCATGTTGTTAGGTGTCAGTGGTGCTGAAAATATATTCAGGTGGTGGCCATGTCAAATTTGTAAACCAGATTTCTTGTTAACTTATTCACGTTCTTGTTAACTTTTTTTTCTCCCCATTATTTTCCTTAGCACAATATCAACTACGTGTGACGAGCCAACAAAAATACTTTACAATATTGGTTTGCCATTGCAAGGAATATTTGCAAAATGAATTCAAATATGTGTTGGTCTATGCTGCTAATACTGATTCTCTTCCTTACCTAATTCAAAACATCTTCGGTGCAGGTTATAAGCGTGCATACAAAGTGCAAAGACGCGGACAAAAATGAAGCCAATTGAGCTTATCAGCGAAAGATTCTCGTGGAGCTTTCCACTCAAAATTGATCGCGCGGAAAATTGTGATAAACCTAATAAGAAACCTTCTATTCGCGTGATTCCTTGAAAGCTTTATATTGTGGTTAACCAAATAAAAGGCAGATTTGCAGGGTGAAGGAAATGGGGTTACCATTAAATCTTGGCTCTCCCATCTTGTCTCCTGTTCTCAGTAAGTTTGAACTCCACTATATATATATATATATATATATATATGTGTGTGTGTGTGTGTGTGTGTGTGTGTGTGTGTGTGAAGCATCTTTGTTTAATCTCTAGTATTTCAACATGGTGTGAACCAAGTATATTTTGCTTTACGAGGAGAAAACAAAAGGTTATATAAGAAAAACTGGATACTACTTCATATCCAACTATTTCTATTCTTCTTATTTTCCTTTTCTTGTTTGATTTTTAAAGAACACTAGCATTCCATTTTCTCTTCTTGCCGTCCCATTCCTTTCTTCCTGAACAAATTGTAAACACATTCAATTTCATAAGATAAAGGTAGACGTTTACCTGGAACTATCTTCTTTCAATTAACAATTGCCTTCCGTTAGAAGTTTGTAACAAAATGAATATTAATAAAGGAAAAAGGAAATAAAAATGAATCGCCATGGACGAATAAAAATGAAACAGCTGCTTGACCATTCCCTATATATTGTTACCATTTCCGAGTACACTTGATACCTCATTCATTCCCAAACGTTCTCAATGTAGAGTCAATATACTAGTCATGACTATGTGGATTCAACTAAGTGAAATCCTCACAAGGATTTATGTACTACAAAGAACAAACGAGCCCTTATTTAATGCTAGCAATAGAATCCCAAACTTAGGGAATTATTAATCTTGAAGGGAAGGTTGAATGAACATAACATACAGCTTTGATAGCATTGCGATCTATTGCTAGAAACTAGCAATTCAAAGTATAAAGATGCAAGAAACCTTTGAAACAAAGTCCTCAATATTTTTGTCAGAACTACCATTCAATGACTGCTTTTAGAGTTGATTCCTTCCACTGAGTAACATTGTTTTTTTATCATCTTCTTTCTGTCCCCCTCTATGACTTCTTTTACACAAGTTTCAATTTCTTCACTTGTGGCAATTCTCTTCTCATTAACTCCAACTTTCCACACATCTGCCGTAAACTTGGTGTTCGTCTTCTGATCCACCCATACAGGCATAGCTATTATTGGCACTCCCAAACACAATGTCGAATTCCATCCGTAATGAGTCATGAAACATGATATAGCTCTATGTTATATAGTAAGTACCTCCAGTTGGAGACATCAACTCAAAACTGAACCTTCCTCAAGATGTTTTTTAGATTCTTCAGAATCTCTCACCACCCCCAAAAAAATGACAATTGCTTTGTGCTAGACCCCATGCTAATTCCTCCAATTGTTTTTCTCCAAGTACGGCACTACTGCCAAATGATACATAGACGACAGATGAACTATCTTTTTTGTTTAATCCGATCATTTTCTTCAACCGACGAATGTAGTGATGGAACCAAAGGTCCAATGATCATAATAATGGCCATTGGCTGGCCATATATATATATATATATATAAAATTTAATTAGTAATATTATATTAAAAATAATATTTAAAGGAAAAGAAGGTAACCAATTAGACATGTCTATTTCTAAAAGTTGTGATGCTCCGGTGATAACTAACCTTTTGACACTTAGTTTTAAGGGAATCTTACAGAAATATTCCAAATAAGTCCTATCTTACCAATTTTTACCCATTAATCATAGACTTACCAAAATTATCCAAGCACATATAAAAATTAAAATCCAAATAAATATGGATTCTTCTTCTCCAAGAATCTCACGCAAAGATCTCCTTTCATATTTTAAGCATGACCGGCAACATTAGATGCAAGGCGGAAAGGAAATTATGATGAGGTAGCAAACAAGGTTACGAAATACAAAAAAATAAATATATACGATCACTACAAGAAAAAGGGCCTATAGCGAGGGGAAAAACGGTCGTTAGAAGTCCAAATCCGGTCGTTATAAGCTTGTAGCGACCGGAAAAAATCCGATCGTCGCCGGTCGTTAAAAGCTTTGACGTTAAAAGTTAACGACTGGACTGTAAGTCGGCCGTTAAAGATCCTTTAGCGACAACATAAATTCCGGTCGTTGTATGTCTTTTTTAGCAACAGATTTTCCCTTCGTTAAATTGTCATCCCGGTCGTTAAAAAACTTTATGGGAGCAACGAATTTGGTCGTTACAAGTGCTTTTATTGCCCAAATTTTCCTTCGCTAATGAGAAGTTTTACTAAATATAATTATAAAACTCTATTTTACTGAATATAAAATAATTATTTCATATGCTTTCATACACATACGACACAATCAAAACTATATTAAATAATCAGTATTCATATGAAACTTCATCATTGATACAAAGAACTAAAGAATAATAAAACCGTCCAAATTGTATGACAACATTTTAACAACTCCTAAAAATAGAAAAAAATGCATTCAATGTGCATCAGATGTCTTTAAACCACCCCAACAAAATAAATTTCTTGTATTTTAACTTTTTGCTCTGCACTTTTTCAAGGATTGATACTTCGAACTTCCAAATTCTTGATCTGCTACACATTACTCGTATATGACTTTACCAAACATGATCCTTGCAGCTTGTTGGATTAAGCCTTCAACATCACCATAGCAACTTTGAAAGTGTTAAACTTTGTTAAGAATCGAAGAAAATCTAGTATAACCTGAAAGACACTGTTACGAAGAAGCAAATGCCTCTCCATTAGAATTGGACTTTACGTAGTTACTGAGATGTAAATCTTCTAATATAAAGTAACATATGCATCGTAAAAAAGCTACAACACTTAAAGATTTGAATCAAAATATTAGGTGATATGTTACTATAGTTAGCTGATGTATGAAAGAGTAAAGTTATAATGAGTATATAAAAGTTTTTAGTAAGCAGAACATAAAGAATTGCACAACCAACTGCTTTCACAGTTCAATCAAGTGTTTAGTAAGCAACCCTATTTGTGTTCATCAGTATATAAAGAATCACATAATTTCTTTTGCGATTAACTGTCTAAGAAATTTTTAAATCTGATTCAAGCTATGAAAAATAGGTTATTAGCCCATTCATATCTATTGGAAGAGGAAAAATAGCTCATTCATTATTATCGGAAGAGAAAAAAGAGCTCATTCATTATTTAAAGGAGCGCAAATTGTTAACTTAGTTTTAAAAGAGCTGCTGAATCTGATATGATAGGCAAAATGTGGGAAATAGGAAGCAGAAATAAAGTTCTCCAAAATTAGCATGCACTACTCTACTCCCATTAGGTATAACGTTTTCGGTTCAATTAGCAAAACACAATTAAAGAACTAAGAGACAGCTAAAAACTATGTAAAAATTCAAATCAATTCACTCAAGATGACAACATGTCCATTGTTATATTACTGATAGTAGGCAATCTTCAGTTTACTCATGAATTTTTCTAAAGTAATTCTTCGAGCTTTAATTAATCCACTTCAGATTATATCCTACTTCTTCTCTTCCTCTTCTTATTGCTTTTACTTTACTGAACGTGATGAATAGGCATTAATTTATAGTTCTCAATAATTCTTTAATGTCACTCAAAAAAATCTCCAGAGATCTACGTCAACAGAAATGTTAAGCACAAGAGCATTTTATTCCATTACAAATGATCCAAAAAAGAGCATTTTATTCAATTATATAACAAGTATCACAGAGTTTAATGCAACAACTTAGACAAAGAAAATAATTATATGTGGAACAACTTACTCATTTTGTTAGGATCCTTCTTCAATATACCCACTTCTCTCACTTTCTTCCTCTCTTTCTTGTTCTGGGGAAAAATTAAAAAACAAAAATAAATAAATTCCACATAAACCCCATCTAATAACTTGTTACGGGATATTCAAACAAACAGCTCTTCGTAAGAACCATCCTTTAATTTTCCTTTTATTTCAAATAGACGTCTCATAAGATTCAAAGTTTGCCTGCGTGTACATAAAAACGTAAAATATGCATGTAAAAATAATATGTTTGAAGGTTATGTCCACAACAGCATATAAGCAAAACAATTAATCTGAACCAACCTCTTTTCCTAATTTTCTGTTGTATCATATTACAAATGATATAAACATGTAGCCACTGCTAGATAATCGATCTTTCCTATCAGAGAGTTAATATCATAATTTCAGAGGAGTCCTATAATAAGGATGAAGTATATGAAGCCATTCAATATTTAAGGCATTTAGAATGAGGATACATGAACATATATCTATAACAGTTCAAGTGCATGAAAAATGTCAATTAACATAAAGCAATCTACATGAGATTATCATCTCTTTTTTATAAATAGACCACATTACCACAGTCTAAACAAAAGCTCCAATCTTTTACAATAAAATGAATAAAAGTGAATCAAGAGAGAAAGTATCTTAACATTAAAAGATTACCCATGTTCTCTTGAGATTATTTATGACTAAATTCCATATGCTTTCTGAAGCAGACATTCTTTGCTGAAATCCATTGAGCAAATATGAAGCACAAAAATATCTTGGATGATTAGTTTAAATGAATTAAACACTTTGAGACATAGCTTCTTAATTCAAAAACAACATGAGAGACAGAAATTTCTTCTAATAGTTTAACTATATGATAAGGGTATCACTATTTCTATTTGGATTTACGAAGCAGCAATTACTTGGCAGCAAAAGTAGATAACATGGTATTATCTCTTTAAATCTGAAGTTTTGAACAACAGAGCTTAAAACTTTTGTTTGGAAAAATACAAGTTGTTCCAACATGAGTTTCTGGTAAAGAATTTTAACTTACCCGTTCAGTTGTCTCTATTCCCATTAAGTTACAACAATGTCTTGGTTTTCTCGCTGGAAATAAGTTAAACATACATTAGAAAGGTTTTTAACTCAAATAATCCTGTCTCAAATGTAATTACCCTCTTTCCCGGTATTTTATGCTCCAAATCCTATCTTTTGAAGTCTTGCGATTCCTTTGTAGCAGCAAATATCTATATTTTTTTTTGTTTATGATCTCCTGAAATATAAGTAAGACAGAGGGAATCGAAACTTACAACAGATTTAGAAAATCTTTTTAATAAATGGAAAAAAGTTCATCTAAGTGAACCGATGAGCCAAAATTGAGGTACACCCACCTTGATTCGGCACTGAAATTTTGATATTAAAGAGAGTCACTGCATATTAGTCGAAAATCTAGAAAAGACAAATATTTCTCAGCAATTGGATTCTTTACAACTCCAAAAAATATGTTGGTCTTTAGCAAAATGAACCGGTTACCATGCCACAAAATAAAGAAAACAGGACAAGCAAAAGAATACAAGAAAAATAGAAATGGNAAGAGTAACAACAGTTCACTATAATGACAAGTGCTTGACTGCTTTTACA